CACCGAAAGGATGACTTGAGCATGAAATTTGAAGATAAAGACACCTTATATTCATTATAAGGAAAATTACTATTGCCCACTTTGAATCAACATGTTGCTTGCAAAATGACTAACTTGAAATACATTTCACATAAAGGATGACTTGAGCATGAAATTTGAAGATACGGACCCCGTTATTATTTAGAATTACAAATTTAAGGTCTAATTTGAAGTTAAGTGGAAATTTAGAGACTAGCCATGCAATAAGGCCAAGCACATTTATAAACCCGACAGTGATCACTAAAACGCAAAACCTCAGCCGGAGCAGAAATTACAGTGTGTTTCTCTTTTCAGTTTGTTTTTTCTACGATTTGCATGCCCGAGTAGTAAGCTCTTTCTTTATACGAGTGGTTTTCTTTTCTTTTTAAACCTATTGTAGTGTGAATCTCCTTGAATCATACTCGATCTCGAATATATAGTGTTATGTAGTAAAGATGTAAATTTTCTCTTAAGTTACATATTTTGTTTGATTCTACACCTTGAAATGTGATACGTATGAAGAAATTATGTAATGGGTTATGTAACTGCACCAAACCAGAAGTCCTTCTTTAGTCCGTATCTGCACTCCGGATGAACCTGCAAAGCCCCGAGGTGGGTCCTCGGGGTAGACACTCCGATGCTTAAGTCAGGAATAATCGGGGCTACCTTTAGAACGGAGATAAAAGGAGCTTAGGGTTGGTTTCAATTACCTTTTGGCATGGCCCTTGAGGGGTATTTATATGTTCCGATGAAGGACCCACGTGGCATGCCAAGCAAGATACTTGGGATTCGATGTGTATCACTAGGCAGTTATTTCGGGACCGGGAGATTGAGCCAAGCAAGATATTCGGGATTTGATGTGCATCTCCAGACAGTTATTTCGGGATCGGGAGATTGAGATATACTTAGATGCAAGGACGTCCATCGTAACTGCTGTGCAGCTATTCGAGCGGAGCGGGAAGCTCTGGATTTATTCTTTACTCCGGTTGTAAAGGAATTACTGTCGTACGTCCGAGATTGGGCACCTCGGTCCTGCCCTTACACTATCCCCCCCGAAGACATTCACTTGTGAATGATGTTGTTGGAAGTGATAGGGGTAGTGCATAAAGATAAAAATCCGTAACTTTACATGTATAGATGACCATAGGCAATATTTAGTTATGAGTCATAATAAAAAGTAATGACCGGAGTCATGGTGGTTGTAGCCAAGGCAAGGCGTGTGACACTGGGTCACTGTGGCCGGGGCCGAAGTAAAGGATGTGACACTGAGTTACTGTGGCCGGAGCCGAAGTGAAGGATGTGACGCTGGGTCACTATGGCCGGAGCCGAAGTAAAACGTGTGACACTGGGTCATTGTGGCCGGAGCCGGAGTAAAACGTGTGACACTGGGTCACTGTGGGCAGAGCCGAAGTAAAATGTGCGACACTGGGTCACTGTGGTCGGAGCCGAATTAAAACGTGCGACATTGGATCACTGTTGCTGGAGCCGGAGTAAAATACTTGGGTTAAAATAGAGAAGAGTGAGCAAGAGTGTTGAAATGGGCTTAGGTGGGCCCGTCTGGGAAGTCTAACCAAGACGCGGTATGCGACGTGACATCTGTCCTCTGAATGACGTGCGTAATAAATGCCGCCGTAAAAAAGATGACTGCAATAGTCTAACAGGGTTAAAAACCGAACCATCGAGTTCGAAACGGTGCCGTTTGGGGTTAACCGTCGAATTCGAAATGGCGTTTCTGCAGCCGTTAGATGGGTTTAATCATAGCCGTTGAGGCGTATTCGGCCTTTGGTATAAAAGGCTATACTTCTGTAAGAGGGGATTTTTTACTCTCGCGATTTTGCTCTTAAAATCTTGCTAAAATCTCTGCGGGTTCGTGCGATTTGTGCTGTGTTTGAGGCTTCAACAATAGTTTCCTAAGATCAAAATCAGGTAATGTTTATGAATTTTTATTTTGATTCTGTCGAAGTGCTATTCTCCTTTCTCCCTTTCTGTGGTTGATTTTGGGTTTTTTTGAAGGAAATTAGGGTTGGGGGTGAGAATGTATTGAGTGTGTTAGCATTGTTAAGGGTCCTAACGCTGTTCCTCCTCGTACTTTATGCAGAAATTGATGAGATGTCTTCAGAAGGGACCGTAAGTGTAGTGGGGAGTGAGGTGATGCCCTTGGATTATAGGAGCATGGATTCGGAGAGCAGTTCGTCTGGGAGCAAAGGGTAGTATAGTAGGAGGAAGATGAGATCCCCTCAAATATTTGGGAAGCTGGGAGTAGCGTAGATGGGTGCTATGACCCAAATTTAGAGATAGTGTCTGAGGTGAGGGGATATGTGAGTGAGCTGGGTAGCAGGGGTAGTCTTAGGGGTCTCGTGGGTAACTGCAACCTTCCTCACCATGTCCTACTTAGACCTGCCGAGGTGAATGAGAGGGCATGCTCAGCACCCCGAGACCATTGGATGCCCATATACGTCCATTATTTAATTGCAGGGCTTAGGTTTCCCCTTCCAGAATTACTAGTTGGGTTGTTATTAGATTACAGCATAGGATTAACCCAATTAACCCAATTAACCTCAAATGCCATAAGGGTAATCATAGGTTTTATTGTATACTGCCGAGTTCGGGGGGTTGCGGTCCCTACAATAAACATGTTCAAACACTTTTTCATAATAAAGGCTGGGGGTAAGGGGGAGAAGGGGTGGTATTACTTCGGTCCTCGGTCGTCCAACAAAGATAATAGGAGTTTATTCTCTGCTGGACCGTCATCCATCAAAGGATGGAAAGAAAAATTCTTCTTTATGGATGACACCGAGTGGAGTAGGAGGGATGCCGAAGTGGAACAGTTGTCTGCTTGGAAAGCTAAGAAAACCAAGCAGAACAACTATAAATTAACTGAGGATGAGGTGGAGGAGGTAGAAAAGCTGGTGAGGGAGGAAGGAGATGTAGTGGATATCCTGTACCTCACCAGCCCGAAGGCAATAGAGGCTGCTGAGCTCTATGGGCCGAGCTCATTGAGCGAAGGTTTGTGTTTGTTGTTACCTTTTGCAGCTTATTTGAATTGCCAGTTATTGTGTTTTAACACTTGTTTTTGCTCTATAGCTGAGATGGACGAATTTGTCAATGCTATTGGAGGACTGCACATCCCAAAGAAGCCAAGGAAGAAGTCAAAGACTTCAACTGCAGTGGAGAAGGGTGTGGTAGAAAGGGAGCGGCTATCCAGCACTTTTGCTCGGGCTTTGGAGGTGCAGCCAAGGCCAGAGCCTGTGATGGGGGGTAGTGAGGATGTGAGCGAGGAAGTGGCACCACTCCAAAGGAAAAAGAGGAAGGTGTCACAGCCAGAAGCCAGGGGGGATGAGGTGGTGGAGTTCGTGCCTCGGCCTTCTCCTCCAGAAATTGATCCTGAAGTCCGAGAAAGGGAGGAGGCCGTGGTACGAGGCCCTGGCAAAGGCAAGGGGCCCTGCCCTTAACCTTCATTTCAGAAGAGTTTGTTCGAAACAACAAACACTACTGGGGCGAAGCGCTTCCTCAACGCTACTCTGCCTGAGGTTGATAGGAGGCAGGCAAGGGATGAGGTGGTGAGCCAGCTGGGGGCTACTGTTGTGAGGCACGCCCTAAAGGTACGTAAAGGAGTTGTAGCCTATTTATGTTTTATTATTATATTTTTTTTTTGACTTCTGCGTTTGAGGTCTGACTTCTGCTTGCCTTGCAGAGTGCAAGCTGGACAAACGCTCTAGCGCAGGAGTACGCGGAAAGCGTGAGAGATCGTGCCAGCTTACAGAGGCAGTGTGAGCAGTTGCAGAAGGAGAGGGAAGAGTTGCAGAAGGAGAAAGAGGAGTGGGAGAAGGAGAAAAGGGAGATGCAGAGGAGGCTGGACAAAGTTCTTCTTTCAGTGACCAAGCTCTAGAACGACAATGATGTCTTGAGCACGAAGCTTGTCCTTGAAAAACGCAAAAGGAAGATCTGTGAAGAGAAGCTCGAAGCTAAAGACAAATACATTGACAATATGAGGAAAGGAGTGGCGGAGCTGAAGAAGAACGTGAATCTGTTGGTGCACAACGGGATGGAGGAGCATATTGACAACTTCCTCAACTTCAGCACCTTCGAGGGCATCCTCAAGCTGTACTGGGTTCCAACCGCAATCCTGGCCTTCACCGACTGTAGAAAGAAGGTGAGGGCCCAATACCCAGAGGTGGACGTGACAACGGTCACCTTTGGGGAACAAGAAGAAGGAGTGGAGGAGGATGGTGAGAGTCTTTATGCTGACTTCCGACCTCTGATCAAGTTGAGGTGGGAGCATGACGCAGAGGGACGCACTATCTTCCCTCCAGCCTTTGATGCTGAGTTGGTGGCAATGGAGGAAGAAGAAGAAGGAGAAGAAGTGCGAGGAGCTGAAGCTGAGGATCAGGCAAACCTGCCCGAAGTGCAGCCTCCCAAGGTGCATCCAGTCTCTTCTGACGAAGTGCAGCAGCTGGGTGCTCCTGAAGCAGAAGTGCCGCCCTTGCCTGCTGGAGATGAGCCACCTCCGCCAC